CTGTTAATGACTATTTAGATGTGCTTTTCTTGTTATGTCTTCTTGTGAAAGCATTATTGTTTTACTTTCAGTTAGATGTGCAATCCCCCTGGAATTTGTTTTGTGTATGGTGTGAAGTGGGGGTTAAATGAGTCTTCCCACTGGCATAGCCAGTCGACTTAGCACCGTGTATTAGGATGATCCTGTCTCTGGTGTACTGTGGTTTTCGATCAGACATCCCTATCCCCGGGCCAAGTTCTTTTTTTTTTTTGGTGGTACCAGGGATTGAACTCAGGACCTTGTGCTTGCCAGGCAAGCGCTTGTTCTACTGAGCCAATTCCTATCCCTGGGGGCTCCCTGGATGTTCTAGCTTGTTCTGCTGTTCTGTTCGTCTGGGCCTGTGTTGTCTCAGTGACTAGTGCTTTATGATAGTGCTGGCTGACTGACAGGTATTTCTTTTGGCTGTTGTCTGCAGGTGGCCTTGCTGGTTTCTGGCCCTTCGTTCGCTGATTCGAGGCCCTTTTGCTGCTGGACTTGAGCGCGGCAGTGTTCTTTGGTTCTTTGATGCCGCTGGTGCTGGCTCCACTATCCCCTTCCAGAGGCTCAAGAAGGCTCATTGTTTGCTCCTTTAGAAGCGCCTCCTTCCAGACAAGCCTGGCAGACCAGAGGCCATGGGCAGTCTCACAGCTTGGGCAGGCCCCAGTCAGCAGGAGAAGGGTGGGTTATGGTGGGGAGGACCAGGGTTGCAGCCACCTCTGTGTAGGCAGTGGGTGTGGGTGCCACCTGGCACCTAGCCATCAAGAGGAGGAGGAAGGGAAAAGGAGGCCCGAGGGCACGGCTCTTGGCAGCGCACCCCCCACCATGTGCTGGTGTAGGGTTGAGGGTCCTGCCTGCACCACTGGCAGCTTGGTAATTTAGTTTTCTTTAACTTAGCTTCCTTGTGCCTTCATCAGCCCCCACCTCCCTTGCTCCCCTCTCTCTCTGCCCACCCACCCTCTTTTGCTTGCCTTTCCTTTCCTTTCCTTTCCTTTCCTTTCCTTTCCTTTCCTTTCCTTTCCTTTCCTTTCCTTTCCTTTCCTTTCCTTTCTTCCTGTATGTGTACATACCTGCTAGGGACTGACCCAAGACCTTATATATGCCAGGCAAGAGCTCTACCACTAAGCACTGTACCCTCTAATCTATCTATCTATCTATCTATCTATCTATCTATCTATCTATCTATCTATCTATCTCTGTCTTCCTTTCTTTCCTTCTCTCTTCCTTTGTCTTTTTCTTCCTTCCCTTTTGAGGCTGAGGAAGTCATATATCTAGTATAAATAAGAAGTTAATGTTACTCTCTAGAACAAAAGGCAACTGGGAACAATTTTTTAAATACAATACAAATGGGACTTGGTAATTGAACATTTGCTTAGTATGCCAGGGACCCTGGGTTCAATCCATAATACCACAAAAAATAAAAATAAAGTAAAAATGAAAGAAAATTCATTCATTTGCAGCTGAGTGCCCCTGCTTGTGGAAGGTGCTTGCTCCTGGCCACCTGTTCCTTTGTTGTCATAGGTAAGGATAGGCAGAGGCTGTGAAGGGTAGGGCCATCTAGACCACTCTGAGTGACCCCTGAGGGAGGAGTGGAGGGGGAATGATGCTCCAGAAGATGTCCCTACTGCCATGTCGGGTTCCCCCAAAATGTTAGTGTTAGCCTTGGCCCTGCCTGGGAAGCCCTAGCCAGACCTGCTAACAGGCCAAGGAGGACTTTGAAGTTCCTCCCTACTTCTGCGTACAAGATGGCTTTGGTGGTTGTTGTGCCCAAGGAAGGCTCCCCAGGATGTCCGCCTCGTTCCGCACCCAGGCACCGTGGGTGCTGGAAGACGCTTCCTACTGAAGCCCAGGCGCAGCGGGCTGTGCCTAGCACTTTTGGCAGGTCCAGGCCACAGCAGGCCAGGCTGTGCACTGCTGAACATGCACATGCTGCGCCTCAGCCAGGGGCAGACTGATCTCCCCTCGAGCAGGCCTGGGTTCTTCCTGTCCTCTGGATAGTAGAAGCTGGAACCAAGAATGGCTGGGGCAGCTTGCTGATTGACAGCAGCTCAGAAGGCTGGTGACATCCCAGGCCACGTAGCTCGCACTGTGGCCTCAGTTCCTTGTCTGCAGGCTGCCTGGAGGCCGGTCCAGTGCCCTTGTTCTGGCCTAACTCAGTACCCCCGCTTCCCTCTGTGTAGGCCAGGTCCTAACCACATTGCACCCCTGGGCCTCCTTTGCTTGAGCAGACCTTTCTCCTACAGAGCAGCCCAGCTCTGAGACTGACCTCCCTATTGTGCCTCTGTATGACACCTGTTCCACCCTGCCTGTGCCTGCTGGGCCTCCAGGCCTTGAAGTTATTTGGAGACAGAGCCCTCTGTGTTGGAACCGCCTGTACCTGTCGGGGTCTGGATCCTCACCTGGGGCTGAATGCTGGTACTGACAGTCCCCAGATGCAGTGGGGCAGTGTCTGGCACTGCTCTGTGGGGCCCTGACACCTTACCTCTTCCTTCCAAACGAGGACCATGCAGACAGGAGGCCGGGCAGCCTGTCTGGAGCCCACAGCTTAGTGGGCCCTGGGAAACTAAAGTGAAGCTCGGTCAGGAGCAGGAAGAGGGCTGGGCTACAGCAGAAAGCACCAGGGCAGTGGCCAGCTCAGCCTGGACAGGGTGGAGGGTGGGAGGAGCCCTCAGCCATCAGGAAGAGGAGGACGGGAACAGAGTCGTGGGCGGCAGCAACTCCGCAGGCCTGAGGGCCTGAGCTGTGATGGGCCTGCCCTTTTGAGTCCGGAGACGCTGTGCCCCCACGTACCTTTCTTGGGCCCCATCCTGAAGCTAAGGACAGAGAAGTGGTCAGGGAGCACAGGTGAGCGCAGTGTATTGATCACTGTCCTCTGAGGCGCCCAGATGGCGGAGGCGAGGTTGGGGTGGCACATGCAAAGGCCCTGTGTCTACAGCTTTAGGGAAACTGCGTAGAGCTCATAGCATCTGTACTCAGGAGGTGTGAGGCAGGGATGAGATGGCACAGGACAGGAGGGGGCAGCTGGGAGGCTCAGACTGGACGCTTCTGGGGTGTTCACAGGGTCACACTCAGATCTCCAGTCCTGAGATCTGGAAAGGCTGTTGTGGGAGCTTCCTGCCTCTGTACCTGAAGCTCCCAGGACAGACCACACTCCCTGTGACCCTAGGGGGCAGTGGCCAGTGGGTGCTGTGGGCAGTGACCTTGAGGGTGCAGGGGGCTGCACAAAAGCTAGGACCCAGAGGAGCCGAGAGCAAGGAGTCCAGCATCACCTGGGCTGGGAGCACCCTCCGCCTGCTGCCCCTGTTTGGGCCTCCCAGTGGTGCATTGCGGGAGTACAGCCGGGACTAGTACTCCCCCAGCAGCCTGCTGTGTGACTTCAGGCAGCCTGCTCCGTCTCTGAGCCCTGAAACGCAGGAGCAGCAGTGAGTGCTGGCTCTGGGTTCCTGCTCTCCGCTTCCCTGATCTGACGCTCACACTCAGATTGCTCCTGGAGCTCGGCCACCAGGGCCCACATTGTGATGACTGGGGGTGGAGGGGGCTGGGCTGTGGCCAGAAGGCTGCCCAGGCCCACCTCTCCAAGGCATGGGTGGAGCTGGAGGCTGAGGGGAGACAGACCAGAGAGGTTGCATTATTGATCCAGGCCAGATAGCAAGCCCTATGAATGACAGGGCCAGAGAGGACGCAGCTGTGGCACAGGGCCAACTGTCCCCCGTCAGCAGACAGGACAGTGGTGGTGCCTGCTGTCCGTCTGTGTCCACACTCTTGCCCTCTCACTCTATATGTTTCTTCTCTTTTCTGGAGAATGTTCTCTTTTTCCCTGCAAGGCCTCAGTGCAGTAGGGTGTTGGGGGGAGCCTATTCGTTTTTATTTATTTTTTTTGTGGTATTGGGGATTGAACTCAAGACCTTGTGCTTGCCTGGCAAGCGCTTATTCTACTGAGCTATCTCCCCAGCCCTAGGGGAAGCACATTTAGCCTACTGCTCAGTACTTTGTCTGGAATGGCAGGTTCAAGAAGCCTGGGTAGAGGTATCAGGGTTTGAAGACCTGGGTTTCAGCCCCTCCATTGCCCTGTGAATTCTGGCAGGCCACTTCCGCTTTCTTTCTGGACAAAGTGCCCACCCAGCAGGGCTTGCCAGTGATGGACGCAGACTTGTAGCCAAGTGACTTACACGCAGTGCCAGCAGAGTGAGGGGGCATGGCCAGTTCCTTCCCGTTCCCCTTCCCTCCGGCCTTCTTAACCATCTCCCACTGTAGTGATAAGTAGGGGGCTCGAGAAGTGGAGTGGATTGGTACAGCTGGGATTGGCAGCCAACTTGCTGAGCCTCGGTTTCCCTCAGGGCTGGTCTTGCCCTGGACAGGCCCCATGATGAGCAGGCCCAGGAGGAGTTGAGCTCTTGCAGCCTGGCTGGATGATCCTTCACGTGTGTGACCGGTCTAGCACCATCAGCGCTTGTGATGTGCATTCCTGCTGTGTCCCTTGAGTTTGGTCAGCAGGGTGCTGGCTAGACCCCTGTAGACCCTGGAGAGCGAAGGGACACCTGGGAGCTCAAGCCTGTTTTCTAGAGGATCAGAAACCTTAATTCCAAGGTGGATGAAGAAACAGATGGGGAGGGTATGAGTGACAGCCCGGTGCCTGAAAGCAGGCTTGTCTTGGGGCAGAAATGGGGCCCACAGAATGAAGATCAGAGGACCCAGGCACCTGCTTTCCCCGGGGTGTGACACTGGCCCTCTGCTGCCTGGAGGCCAGGGGAGGGCGGGGAGATGGGTGTGGCCCTGGCCTGAATCACCTCCCGGCATCAGAAAGGAGAGAATCCTGGTGGCCAGACTCTGCTCTCCTGTTTTGGCTGTGGGACCTTGCGTGAACCTCTGCCCCTCTCTGGGCTTCCCCTCTGTCTTATCAGGACTGTGGGTCACCCAGGGAGAGGTGCACAGCAGGAGTCCAGCATCCCTGGTGAAGACAGAGGTCTTGCCTTCCTGCCCTCCAGGTACTCCTGCCTCCCCTTCTGGGGCAGCTGCCACCATGTTCTCCTGCGTGAAGGCCTATGAGAACCAGAACTACGCGGCCCTGAAGCGCGGCTGTCTGCGCAGGAAGGTGCTCTTCGAGGACCCCCACTTCCCTGCCACAGATGACTCACTCTACTACAAGGGCACCCCAGGACCTGCCGTTAGGTGGAAGCGACCCAAGGTCAGTGTGTGGTGTCGGCCAGGGAGGCCCTGCTGGGCCCCTTGCTGTGGGAGTTGACTTGGAGAGGGAGCCATAAGAATGGGCCCAAGTACCTTCACTCACTATCCTTGCCACCCTCCCTCCCGGAGTCACTTTGGATGTGACCTCTGTTGAGCAAAATGCAGAGTGGTATTCAAGTATATGGAATCTACTTTCATGATTACTATAAAGATTTTGAAGTCACTTCCTGCATAAGTGAGACATGCATTAAGATGATTTATCAGTGATCCAAAGTAGCAGTGTGTGCCTCAGGCTTGAAACCCAGCCTGGGGCCCAGCACTGGCAGCTACAGCCAGGCCTGCGGATCACTGTGGCCTGCGGTCCTCTCTTTCCTGCTCATACCCGGGATCCTGACCCGTGGCCTCAGGCCCCCAGGTGAGGTTGGTCAGGTCACTGGGTGACTTTCTCCTGTTCAATTCCACTTCCTGGATGGAAAGGAAGGTTGGGGAAGGGTCCTGCTGAGTGGGTAACCTGTGGGTCTGGGTGAAGGGGAGGCAGCAAGACACAGTGGACCTGGCCTTGCTGGTGACCCTGTGAGAGATGGTTGCCCTGAAGGGACTTTAGTGAGGGAGACCTCTGCCAGGTCCCCCAGGCTAAGAGGGAGCTGAGACTTGCTGTGTGGTTCTCAGGTAGAAGTCTCTTGGAGCCAAGGCCTATATGGGAAGGGCTGCAGCTAGCTCCTTAGCAAGCGGGGCCAATGGGCCTGACCCACTTGGCCACAGCAGAAGAGAGGAGGCAGACTATGTGTGTGTGTGTGTGGGGGGAGCAGACCGGGTGTGTGTGTATGAGGGGGGATGCAGGCCCTAAGGGCGTGGAAGCCTTCAAGGTGTGCCTCAGCAGTGATCACAGGGCCAGACAGGAATTTCACAGAAACCCTGTAGCCCCCTTGACCTTTCGGAAAAGTGAAATTCAGATTTCATTTTCGTCTCCCAGGGACTGCAGACCCTGCTAACCCACAAATTCTGTGCTTTTCTTGGACTGGGACTCTCTGGAGGGAGGGAAACTGAGGCTGAGAAGGGAAGGAAAGCACTGAGATTGCCTGGGGAGCCCCTGAAAGACCTTACTCCAGAGGGGCCGGCCTTTGGCCTTGGGCCAGTGAGCTTGATGGAATCTTCCCGCCTTGCTCCAAGATTTCCACTTCTTGGGCCCCAGCTCCCCATGCCTTCCTCCCTCTCCTTGGTCCAGTGGGCGAGGAAGGAAGCCAGCCTCAAAGAGCCTTTGTGAGTCCTCAGTGCGCCGAGTAGCCTGGACACTTGAGCGCCTTTCCCAGTTCATGTGCTACCTCTTGTTGCCCTCGGCTGTGTCGAGACCTAAAAGTAAAGACATTTATAGTCCATGGCTCTGGAAGCAGGCAATGAGGTCTGGCTGGGGCAGGCTGGTCCTGCTCATGACTCTGAGTGCCCTCTCTGAGCCCCTAGCTGCACAGGCTGGGGGCCTGTCGTGTCTTCTCCCTCCCTGACCCCTGCAGGGCACCACCTTACCGGTCTGGGTTGAGGAAGAGCAGAACTGTGCTGCCCTGCTGGGGTGCGTGATAACCTGGTAGATGGTGAGATGGGAGACATCTGAGTGAGGCCTGAGGGGAAGCAGTTCTTAGCTGGGGGCTGTTCAAGGTCTGAACCATGTCGGAACTGTGGTAGGCCAGGATGTGAGACCCTGGGGTAGTATGGTGATGACTGTGGCTTTAAACACCGTGTGGTTCCAGGTGTGGCGGTACACTCCTGTAATCCCTGCACTGTGGAAGGCTGAGGCAGGAGGACCACAAGCTCAAGCCTAGCCTAGACAGTGTAGTTACTTGGTAAGACACTGTTTCAAAAAGAACCTGGGTGTAATGTCCCATGTCTATAATCCCAGTACTCTGGAGGCTGAGGCAAGAGAGTTGCCAGTACAGAGTGAGACCTTGTCTCAAAAAACTAAAAGAAAGGGCAGAAAGAGAGAAAGAGAACTGGAAGAGAGAAAAGGAGAGAGGAGAGCGAGCACCTAGAGCGCTAAGAAGGCCTTAGAGAGCTGGGAATGTAGAGCTGGGAAGGCCCTGGTTCAATATGAAGCTCCTCCCAGGCACAAAACAAACAAAACACTGCAGGTCCAGCCTGGAGCTGGAGACTCAGCCCAGAATAAGGACTTCGATACCCCCCACCCATACCTACAGGGCAGGAGGCTGTGGAGCAGGAAGTGGAAGTCGTCTGTCTTCCTCAAGGGTGGGGCTGGTCCAACTGCACTATTAACTCCCAGCTGCTTGACCTTTAGCCAGTGAAACTTTGGCCTGGGGCGGCTATGTCTGCAGGGAGTCCTACTTCCTGGGTCCTGCGACCCAGGTACCCAGGTACGAACAGGCACAGAAGCCAGCATTCCTGTGCCAGCTTTCGCTGGAGCCCAAGGAGGTCCTTCTTCACTATCCCAGTGAAGCTTCTCTGCACGTGTGGGGTGTTGCGGAGGATTCGCCGTCCTTCACAGCTCCGCTGTCTCCCAGAATGCAATGGGGAGCCTGGCTGGAGCCCCACAGACTGGGTTCCAACCTCAGCTGGAAGGCCAGGTGTGACCTTGAAGAGGCCGCCCCTGAGCTGCAGGTTCCTCCTCTGTTATGGGGGGCATGGCTCTTGCTGATTATGTTTCTGGAGGCAGAGTGAGTGGGGTACTCAATGGGTCAGGCCCAAGGGAGAAAGCGAAAAGCGTCCCTTCCCTGTCCTGCCCCCTTCTCTTCGTCAACACAAGACCCAGAGCCCTCCATTTTCATGCTGACCCTTACTGACCCCCACGTCGGGCCAGCCTTGTCCCCTGTGGTCTCCACCCAGGCACCTGCTGCAGGCCCCACCCCTACAGGCTTTTGTTGTTCCTCTTAGGACTTTACCCACCTCCGGCCTCCCTCAGAGTCTGCTCCAGGAAATAAGAGGCAAATGGGGGGGATGTCAGCAAACCCTGAGGGCAGGAGCCCCCTTTCTGCTGGGCCAGGGCTGAGTGGCCTGCAGAGTACCCCTCAGGCAACACCGCCTCTGGGCATTGGCCTGGGGGCTGTTGGTGGAAGGCAGAGAGGATGCAGCAGTCCTGCAGTGAGGTCCTCAGCAAGCCCATGACCCCAGCCCACCCCTGGTCCTGCTCATTTGCCTGGGAAGCCTCAGCTTGCTCACCCCGAGCCCCCGGGAGCACAGCTGCAGGTTTGCACTGGGTATGGGTTGGGCAACTCTCCTGCCTGGGAACCACCACCCTCGGCCCCTTGCCTGAGAGTTCAGGATGGATGTCAGGCAAGGTTGATGAGAAGGGTGGCCTGGAAGGATGGAGACTTCTGGGAAGAGATAGGGCAGGGGCGAAGAAAGGGTGGGCCTTAGGCTGTGACTACTGAAAATGTTGCCATTTGTTCCTGTCCCAGACAGAGGCCCAGTGTCCTCTATTGATTCCTCCTGTGACCTTAGATTGCAGAAGAGTTGACAGGTGAAAGTGGGTGGCTGAGGAGGTAGGGATAGGGCCCTTGTGCTGCTGCTGCTGCTGCTGCTGCTGCTGCTGCTGCTGCTGTGTGTGTGTGTGTGTGTGTGTGTGTGGTGGCCTGTTCCTGTTGTTTATGCACCCAGCCTGGAAACCTGAATTTCCTGCTGGACCTGGAGTGACGTGGCTGTGCCCTGAACCTTGTCAAACTGGCCTAGCAGGCTGGGTAAGAGGCTCCTGCTGTGCAAGAGGTCAAGCCTAGAGGCAAGCTGGGCAGAGCTGTGGTCACCCCAGCATTCAGATGGCCTTGCCCAGGCCTCACAGAGGTCCTGCCCAGGCCCGGGTGTTACTTTGCCCTGCTTCCCTCTCAGGGACACTCTGCAGCTCCCATAGCACCTGCAGGGCCCTGCTTCCCCTGGGGATGGGCGGAGTCTGGCGAGCACTCAGGTTGGATGGGGAGAGCCACTGACAAAGCAGGCGTGGGCAGGGGGGCAAGGGTGCAGATGGCTGGTCCCATCAGAAGCAGTGCCTCCTGGAGTGGCTGGCCCTGAAGAGGATTTGGGATCCTCCCCCACCTGCCCCCCCATGAAGGCACTGGTACCCCTCCCCCAGTGGTCTCTGGCCTCCCTGAGCGCCTGCCATCCCAGCTCTGCTCACATCGGGCTCAGGCCTGGCTCCTCCTCTTCGAGGCCAGCCCTGACTACTCAGTGGCTTATGTCCAGCTGGGGGTGGCCCCGGAGAAGAAGACTAGACTTTGTCTCACTCCTATGTAGTGAGACCTCCTCACTAGGACAGGAATAGGGACAGCGAAGGAAAAGTGGCTTCACAAAAGCTTCTGGGAAGCGCTCACGCTAGGCTGCCTGAGCTGCAGTCTCAGTTCAGAGTGTCTTGTGTAGCCCTGGGCCTGTCTGTCTGACAGGCTTGTTAGGCACAGTGCCCTGCTTGCAGCAGGTGCCTGCTCCTCAGGAGCCATTCCTGGGACTGCTTTGCAGGTGCCAAGGTGGCCTATGGCGTCTGGGCACCACTGGCCTCACCTGGTTCTCTGGATCTGACCCCAGGCCTCTCCTGGCAGAGGTCATGGGGCCCAGGCCCCTCTCTGCTCTGTCCAGGCTGCCTCCCACCCCAGGTCCCTGCTGTGCCCCTGAAGCTCAATCCCTGGCACTCTTGGTTTTGCCACTTTGTGCTGCTCTGTAGGGCTGGAGAGATGTCTGGGTCAGAGCACCATCTGGGCTGTGCCTGCTGCCAGGTCTGCCTCAGCAGCACCACCCCGGGGAGAACAGCCCTAGTCAGGAGCCCCGCAGCCAGCACTGTCTATCCGTGCACACCCTGGCCTCTTGACACAGGAGTCACCCAGTCTCCTCTGCTGTCTGTGTCACAGAGCACTTGCCAGGGGATCTGCAGCGGAGGGGCCCCTGAGCACCACCTCAGAACACAGGCCCTGGTGTCTTCCTGTGGCGCACACGGCTAGGTCCTCCAGATTTGCTCCCCAACCTCCAGCCCCAGCACAGCAGATGCTAAGTCATGGCTCAGAGGCTCAAAGCTGGGCTTCGTGGGAGATAAAGTAAGAGGCAGCAGGCGGGGCCTGGGCTTTTTCCTCTGCTTCCCCAGAGACAGAAACATGACCTCGGGGACAAGATGAGGGCCACCGTGCCTGTGGGTTCCCCATGACCTGGAGTGGTAGGAGCCAGACCTGTGCTCTGAGAAGGCTACTCTAAACATGCTGCCCAAGCCATCCTGTGGCACCCCCTGCAAGGAGGGGTCAGGTCCCTCTGGCAAGTGACAGGCCTTTCCTTGGCCCTGTAACACTTGTTTTTCTGGGCTGAGAAGTCCCACACTCTGTGGGACCCTAAGCCCCATTGTCCCTGTTGGGCGCTCCATCACTGAGACTTGTGGCGGCTTTGTATAAAGTGGAAGTGAGGAGGCCCCAAGCTGCACTGCAAGGAAGTGGCCAGCAGGAATGGGGTTCTGCTGCCCTCTGCCGGCAGCCTGCAGGAAGGCCTCAATTGCTGCACTCCTGCTAGGAGCCAAGATACTAAATGAAGTCCACCCAGCGGCCTCCCCTCCCTGTTCAACCTCTCATCTGGGCATCCTGCCCACCACTCAGGGTCAGGATCAGGGTCGACTGTGGTACCAGCTGGACACCTGGGGCATGGAGACGACTCAGTGCCTTCTGCCCATCTTCATGCCCCGTGGGCTCCATGGGCTGAGTTGCTAATGCAGCGGAGGGTCCTGGGAGGGGGCTGCTGATCGCAGGCGGTTCTGGCTGCCACAGACGCCATCTCAGGGAAAGGGAACCCGCATGCCCAGCCACCTCTGCTGGCCAGTCATTTCCCCTCGGGACACAGCCCTCCAGAGCTGTGGTGCATTGGTTCACCTCTGCCCTGGGCCAGGGTCAGTCAGGGCTGTGTGGCCCTTCTGCTGTCCTGCTCTGACATAGTGCCCAGCTCAGGCTGGGAGGCAAGATGGCCCCAAGGGTGCCAGACACCAATGCTTCCAGATTATCTCTTGGCACTAAGGCCAAAGACAGCGTTTTTCCTCCTGTACAACACTCCCCAGGGGACCCTTCGGGAAGACTCTGAAGATGTGAGGAGCCCAGGCCAGGGCATGAACTCATGCAGAGACTAGCTGGTTCTGGAGCTGCCCACTGGGCCTGTCCAGCAGAAGCAGGTGGCTTTGAGCAGTAGGAAGAGCTGGGCCCGGGGCCAGCAGGAGGGCCTGGCCATTTCCCTGCCAGGTAGCTGCCCAGCCTGGCTCCCTGCGCATCTGGGGCAGCCCCTCCGGCCATGCCTGCAGGTCTCTGTGTGCTGTGTGCTTCTGACAAAGCTCTGCCTCTCTGAGTCTCCATTATCCATCCATAAAATGAAGCAGCAGCCTAACCTGTACTCCTCGGGCAGAGGAGGCCCAGATGTGTGCACAAGGGGTGTACCACGAGAGACCTGGCCCCTGCACTCCCCCACCTTCCCTCTCTGTGCTCATTAAGTGATCTCACCCCACTACCCTCTTGTTTGGGACCATGGGCCTCAGCATGGGCTGGGATAGGGAGGGCCACGGGGGAGAGCCAGGATGACAGGGTCCTGCTCCCTGACCTCCTACAGTCGTTCGTCATCTCTCCTTTGTAGAAGAGTGGGCCAGGGAAGATTAGGGTGCCCCAGACAGGACAGGGGGAAGACAGACAGGCCACATGAGCCCGGGGTTGCGGAAGACAGGCCAGGGCTGCGGAAGACTGGTCAGCCTCCCTGCGTACCCTGAGTCCTTTTCTGCTGCAGGGCACCCTCAGGCACCTTGGCTCACACTCCCCTGCCTCCTTGCAGGACATCTGCGAGGACCCCCGCCTCTTTGTGGATGGTATCAGCTCCCACGACCTGCACCAGGGCCAGGTGGGCAACTGCTGGTTTGTGGCTGCCTGCTCGTCACTGGCCTCCCGGGAGTCTCTGTGGCAGAAGGTAAGGCCTGGGCTGCTGGGTAGACTGGGGTTTCCGCAGGTGTTTCCTCACCTTCATGTGGCAGATGGGACTTCCTGAAAGCCAGCACCAGGGCAGGATGGCTAAGCATCAGAGTCTTCTTCCCAGCCTCTCAGCTAGGGGTCCCCAGGGCAGGGGCTGGAATCTGTTCTGATATGTGCCCGCCCCTCTGCGGGGGCCTCCTGCCACCGGAGCACACATCTGCCTATGGAGTGTGGAAGGCTCCTGCTTGGTTTTCTGCTGTATGCTTGGTCCTTGCCTTTCCCAGTTCACGGGTGGGTCCAGTCCTCAGGGCCATGATTCCTGGTCCCACTGCTAGTGTTCGGGGCTATAGCCAAGGCCTGCAGTTGGAAAGGATGAGTCCCACTTCAGCCACCTGGTCTTCTGTGGCAGCACTCGGCACTGGGGCCTTAAGACCAGAGCTAGGAATTTCTTTCCTGGGGTGGCGGGGAGGCTAGAAGGGACGTCAGACCTGGATTCTGACGTCCAGGTCAGTGGAAAGGGACAAGCGTGCCCTGCTCGCTTGGAAAACGCAAGTCATTGAGCCATCCTCACCTCTGCCCTCCCTCTAGAAGGGGTGGGAAGGGACAGAACAGCCTGGGTGCTTGGGTCTCCTGGTCTTGGGTTTGAAGCCCAGTCGTAGGAATTGGGAGCTTTGAACTTGGCCTCGGGTTACTTGTCTACAGAGCTGTAAGAGCCGCCTCTCAGCAGCTGTGACGGTCACAGTCCTCCGGGAAGGGTGGCTGTGATGACTCACTGTAGGACGGTTAACGCTGCTCAAACATGGGGCTCTCAGGGAGCACAGTAGTCTTCTTCCTCTGTGACATCCTTAGCCATCAGAGGGAGCTGTGTCCTGGGCCGAGGCTGGGACTGTGTGGCAGGTTCCCTGTCCTGGTATCTTCTGAGCAGCGTGCACATCCCTGGGGCCCGGGCCCTGATGGTCCGTAGGGGTCAGGTGGCTGCATGCCTTGGGCCCATTGGGCCCTGGCAGAGCCACTGTGGCATCCTATGGGTGTTCATGGTGCCTCTGTGCTGGAGGGGCTCAGAGAGCCACACGTGGGATCCTGTCACTGTGGGCCTCATGTGGATCTGCTTCTGGAGTAGTTCTCGGGTAAATACCAGGTGCGTGCCTTGCAGCTTGCAGCCTGCAGCCCCCCTTCTCTAGCTAAGAACTAGGTCTTACCTCTGCACCCTACCTTGGAGGCCTGGCCTAGGGACAGAGGTGGCACATAGCAGTCCTGGAGGGCTGACTCCCACCTCTGTGTGCCAGGTAATTGCCTGTTTATCTGCCATTTCCCCTCGAGGTGAGTTCCCATGGGGAAGAGCAGGGCACGCTTGTCCCTTCCCACTGAGCCTAGTGGTGGCATGCACAGAGAGGGCTCTGGAGAGGTGTGGAAGGAGGGGTCTGTCTCAGGTTGTTGGGCCCACTTCCGGACCCCTGAGTCGTCCGTGGGCTGGAACTGCCTGCATGTGTGCAAGCAGGGGTCTCAGTGCTGCACTCCGGCTGAGCCTGGCTTATGGTCCTCTGTGACAGGGCAGCCTCCCACCCGCTGGTGGAGGAAGGGTCCACAGCTCAGGCAGGAGGCCCGTCCTTGGTGCTGTGCCATCTCCAGCTCATTTTTATTCCAGGGCTGAAGGTTCCTTCTACAGAGGATGGGACCCCAGTCCAGGAGTCTCAGGTTGCCAGGGCCAGGAGGCTGACCTGCAGTAGCTTGGGTAATGCTGGGAAGGCTGGGGTGGGCTGGGCTCTTAGCTAATTGCACTCTTCCCCTGTGTGCTGCTATGGCAACAGGCCCTGCGGAGCTCATTACTGTGCTTACGTCTTCACCTGTCCCCACTGACTGGACTCTGTGTGTGTTGTTACCCCTCACAGTCTGGGCCTGTTGCCCTGCAGGGCCTCCCAGGCCCCATCCTATACTCTCCCTGAAGGCCAGTGGGGGTGGGAGTTGGTCAGCTGAGCTTCACCTTTGCCTCCACCTCTGGGCTAAGTGTCACACCTGGGATACACATCCCTCCTCCCGGAAGTCATCCCTTACTCCATCCCTGAGGGCCTCAGACCCATGGGCATCCAGACCTGAGTGTGATTCTGGCTGGGGCCCTTGCTAGTTATTGACCTCAGGCCAGTCATATCCTCCTTTGGCCTCACTGCGACCAACACCCTTGGGTGGTGAGAAGAGGACAAGCTGTTGGTTGTAGCGGTGGTTGCTGGCACACTTGGATGCCCTCCCAGCCAGATGCTTCTTGGTAGTGGGTTCCCTCACCCAGAGACCCCTGACCATTAGTATCCCCATCTGGTCTACATGTCCCATCCCCATCTGGTCTACATGTCTCATGAGGGCAGGGCAGCAGACTTGAGGTGATCAGGCACTGGGAACCTAACGTCAGGATGTGACAGTTTGGATTGGCATTTGCCATTAGGCCTGGCTTAGGCCAGACCCAAGGTCTACAATGATCTTGTTTTCCCAGTGACTGGAATAGCCCATGCAGGAGTCAGGCATCCTGCCTGCCTGCAGTCAGCCCAGGCCCGGGTCCATGGGGAGAGCCTAGACATGTGTAGGGTAAGAGGTGGGGGGAGCAGTGCTTCAGCAGGGCCTGGTCAGGCTGTGCTAGCTCTATATACGTGTTTCCCACCATGCCCTCGCCCTGTTGTGACCACAATCCGTGTTCGCAGTTACAGAGCCTCTCATGCCATGCTCTTCAGTGTCCATGGTGCACAGCTAGGTACTGAGGACAGAAGACTTAAAAAAGCATAAAACCATGAAGGACTATTATTGCCTCCAAATAGTCATAATTGAAAGTTTTCTCTATTTCCCTCTAGTCTTTTCAATTTGGGATTAAGGAGGAGCTTGCATGTTTGGTTGGTTCCTATGCACAGTTTTTTTTTGCAGTTGTGTATACAAGCTTGGAACTTGCTTTCTTGAGTGTATTCCTGTGCAGTCTTTGTTGATCTTCCCAAGTATCTGGCAGTTTAACAGAGGTCTGTGGGCATCAGTGGTCCTGGATACCACCTGCATCTTCCAACTCCTTCCTACCCCTGGGCCACACACCTTCTTCCTATCATCTTGCTCTAGCCCTTACTACGTTCTCCCTCCTATGCTATGAGGGCTGGCCACCCTCAGCCTCCTGCAGGTCATACCGCTCTGTCCCGGGTGAGACCAGCCTCTCCAGGAGCCCTTAGGTGCCTAGATCCTCTTCAGCAGAAGGTGAACCTCCCTGTCGCCTAAGATCCAGAAACTGGGGAAGCTCTTTCCTCTAGGACTGCTTCCTCGTGTGAGCGCAGGCTGCCTTCAAGCTTTCGGCTCCCTACCTCTTCCTAGTGTTTTGCTATCCTTTGCCACCCAGCTACCCTGGCCTGTTGTTCTGGGACAAAAGGCCTGGCACCTGTAATTTTACCCGGGACCTTTTACCCAAGAACTGCCACACCCTGGAGATTACTGTCCATGTGGCTAATGCCTATGCTCTGCCTCCCCCCATTTCCTGGACTCAGCTCTTGATTTCCTCTCTGCCTGCCTTACTGCCTGCCACCATGGTCACTTGCTTTCATAGCCACCGCCTGGCCAAGACATCTCTCCATGGAGGGCATCGGGGCAAGGCCCAGGCCTTACCTCTCCCGGCCTCTTACCCATCCCCAGCCCAGCACACACCTGGTCCTGAGCTCATTTTGCCGTTGCCCAGTGCCCCAGGCTCTCTCCCAAACTGCCTCCTTCCTCTGGCTGGCCTTGGTCTGGGGCCCTGGGGTTCATCATTTCAGTTCCCTCATCATTGTCATTCAGTCACTCAGTCACTCAGTCACTCAGTCACTCGCTCACTATTCAAGCATCTCTGTGAACCTCCTGTGTGGCAGGTCCTACCCTAGGGGCTGGCTTAATGTGATGAGCAAGACAGGCAGTCCCTGCCCTCTTCAGTACTTACAGTCAGCATGGGGACCTCACAGACAAAAAGTAAGCAAACAGGGCTGGGGTGTAGCTCACTGGTAGAGTGCTTGCCTGGCTCTGGGTTTAAGCACCAGCATTGTGAACCAAGCCAAAAACCAAACCAAGCTAAGCAAGCATACAAATAAAATGCAAACTTTAGTGCTGGGCAGAATAGAATCTTTCCTTCCTCACAGAGAAAACAGAAGCCCCCAATAACAGCTTCTCAACCAAATTGTTCTCTTTCCTGCCCTTCCAGCTACAAAATAAAAAAGTTCTGAGAACAGATAAGCTTATCCTGTTCCATAGTGCGGTCCTTGTAGCTCCTGCTGAGGGTCCCTGGAATTGACCCCAGGGCTCAGTTGTGTCACTTTTTGCAGTGCTGGTGGTGGAGCCCAGACCTCACACTGCTAAGTGAGTGCTGCTGTGCCCTCCCCTGGGGACCTGGCGCTCTGCCGTCCTCGGTGCCCCTGCTGTTCACATAGCCCAAACTACTACTGACTTAGCCTCCAGCTCACAGCCCACTCTGTTCATGGCCCACCAGACCCCCAGATCTGTTGTTACACATGGGCTGGGCCTCTGTCCTGTGCTGTGGGTGTGGCACACCGAGGCAGTGGCCTCTTGCCTTTCATTCTACCCTCATAATGGCTGGGCTCCCACCTCCTCTTAGGCACTGAGGGTGTAAGTGTTCACCAGGTTCTTCCCAGGCCTCCAGTCTCCTGGAAGGAGGATCCCTGCAGATGGAGGCAGCGAAACCTGCTCATGTGGCTGCCATGGGCAGGGCTGAGTCTGGGATCAGATTAGCAGGAGCTGGGTGAGTGAGTCTCAAGGTATCGTGTCTGCACCAGTAACCTGGAAAGAGATAGTTAAAGATGGAGCTTCTCAGCAGTGGTTCTGGTACACCGTGAAATTTGAGAACCTTAGGTCCAGGTCAGAAGTGATGGTGGCCAGGCTGAGGTCCTGGCAATGGGAATAGAGGGGAAGGTTCCCAGGAGGCGTTTTTGCCCCCTCTCTGGTCCCAACAGAGCCCCCAGGGGTCTTCCCATGTGTCCTTACTGCCCACGGCAGGGGTTGTAGTTGCCCCTCCCTCTCTGGCTGCTCCATGGAGTCCCTGCCTCACAAACAAGCAGCTCCCAGCCCAGCTGTGGTAGTCAAGGTGGTTGCCACAGCTGTTGCCATCAGCACTGTGGTCTCTGAGGAGCCTGTCACCTTCCTGCCTGCCTGAAGTGCTGCATTGCTACTTCTGTGAGGAATGAGAGGAGGCTTGGAGCCTCCGCCCTCACACACACAGGATTTGAAGAACTGAGTGGGGCTGGGAGTGGTGACAGGGGGACGAAGGGTGGGGACTGGAGGCGGAGCTTCTGGGGCGGCCTCTTCGCTTGGCATCTGAGGCCCCAGCCCACTTGGCTTCCTGGTGTCGGCGGAGCAGTGCGTGGCCATGGCTGAAGATGGGCTGAAGCAGCTGGAGATGCCTCTGGTCCTGGACCAGGACCTGACCAAGCAGATGCGACTGCGCGTGGAGAGCCTGAAGCAGCGTGGGGAGAAGCGTCAGGATGGCGAGAAGCTGCTCCGGCCGGCTGAGTCCGTGTATCGAATCGACTTTACCCAGCAGCAGAAGCTGCAGTTCGAGCGCTGGAATGTCGTGCTGGACAAGCCAGGCAAGGTCACCATCACGGGCACCTCTCAGAACTGGACACCCGACCTCACCAACCTCATGACACGCCAGCTGCTGGACCCCGCTGCCATCTTCTGGCGGAAGGAGGACTCGGAGGCCATGGATTGGAATGAGGCCGATGCCCAGGAGTTTGGGGAGCGCCTGTCGGATTTGGCCAAGATCCGCAAGGTCATGTACTTCCTCATTACCTTTGGCGAGGGGGTGGAGCCTGCCAACCTCAAGGCCTCGGTGGTGTTCAACCAGCTCTGACAGTGGCCTCCCCCTGCTGCCCTTCCTCTGGCCTAGCCTTCCCCTGCTTGACCCCATGTGTATTCCTGGGGACATTCTTTTAGCTGCTCAGCCTGTGCTGGGGTTGTCCAGAGGCCCCTGTGTCTCTCTCTGCGGTGCCAGTGCTCGTAGGAAGATCCCACAGCTCTGTAGTCTAGAAGCTGGACCGTTCTCTGGTGCCGCTGCTGTAGGTGCCTGGCTGGTGATACCTGGGCAGATGGAAAGACCACAGGACTCCGTCCCTGCTTCCTTTTGGTGGAAATAGACTGAAAGAGGCAAATAGATCCAAACCACTTGCCTTCAGGCTTCCTCCAGAGACAGGGAGACTCAGGAACTCAGCAAGCAGGTGTTTGCTGCCGGCTGGCCCTAGCGCCTTTGCTGAATCCCACATCAAGATTTGAATAACCAGCCTGAAGACCACTCCCAGAATGGGCCTGGTGTGATCCCTGCACACCGCAGAGCCCTCAGGACGTGGGGCAGGGTTGCTGTGGGTTGGCTTGGGTGGTGGGGATTGGCTGGCTTTGCAGAGCTAGCTCAGATTCCTGTGGGAGTAACTGCAAGCGCGGGGAAGTAGGGGAAGTGTGTCCGTCATGTAGCGCTCTAACACTGACACATACAGGTGTGCTGAAAGAGAGCGTGTGCGCTGTTATTCTCGGGGGCACGTGCTGGAGGTCTGTGTCTGCCCTCCACCCAAGGCAGCCTTTAGCGTATCTGTTCAATAGTTGCTGTTTCAGTGTGACTCTCAGCAGGGGCTGGGCTTCCATGATAGTGGCTGAATCCCCCGTGGTGCAGGAATTCCCCATGGTGGGATACTCGGCTCATCCAGAGAAGGGGAAAGAGTTTTGTAGAGAGGGTTCCGGACCTGGAGCTGGTGATGGGATGTCCCTTGCTGGGAAGCCAGGCTCTGTCAGCCCAGGGCGCAGGGGCGGGGGCACCTGCAGGCCTTTCATCCTCCTGCTTCTGCTCTTGGCATTTCCCAGGCTGCGCTGGTGGAGCTTGGGTAGGTGGAGAAAGCTGTAGGACTTACCCTGCACGTCCCTCTCTGCGTGATGTTCTGAACTAGGCTGGAGATGGCTGCGGTGACACGATGGCCTCTGAGTAGGGCAACAGTTGGCCCCAAGCTTCCTTCTCCCTCACACCGCTCAGGGCAGAGCCCTTTTGGGGCAGGCCTGCTGTGCTGCCTGGCTTCAGCTCACAGCCTCTCAACGAGTGCGCCTGGTGCCACAACCGGCTCCTTGTGCCCTGGCCAGTCACGTGTCCAGTGACTGTGCGCAGTCACAGCAGTGGCCGTGCTTGGCCCTGGGAAGGGATGTGCTGAGAACTGGGAGGTGGTGGTGGTGGGGGGCCCTGGCGGTGGGGCTGTTGGAGGCCAAGCCCAGGGTATTGGTGTAGGATGTGGGGCAGGGGTGGCTAATGGGTATGTTCTGGTCCTTTGAAATTCGCTGCACTGGGTCTGTTGGGGACTTGCTTAGAGATGGCCTTGCTTGAGCACTGGGAAAGACCAGACCCCTGAGTAGGGACCCCGCGCTTCTGCCTCTCTGCGTGGCTTCCTCTGCAGCTTGTTCCACTTGCCCTGTGGTGTCCCCAGTGCATCTGTGGTTGCTGTGCCTGCTGTGTGTCCCCAATAAAGGCTGTGTGCCCGCGTGCTGCTCCCCCAGGAGCTGTGTCCTACCTGGGCTCCCACAGGCCCTGGCCCCTCCTGCTGCTGTGTTTCAGGGATGAGCTCAGAGCAGTCAAGTGATTACAGACTGTACCTCAGGGTTGAGGGTGGGATTCACACGGCTCCTGACTTCCTGACAGTAGCCCCAGACCAGTCGAGAGAGAGAGAGAGAGAGAGAGAGAGAGAGAGAGAGAGAGAGA